TCGTGCGGCGTCACCCATCATTTAGGCGTATTGTGAGTGCCACGAAGTGAGGGTTCGATTCCCGCTCCAACCGGTGCAAATTTTGGCAACCTGAAAATTTCCCTACTGGTCTAATGGGTGTGGTGTGTTGTCCATCGTCTAGTGTTAAATATTCAGTCTGTGCAACCTCTGGTTGAAGAATTGTCTTGTCAACTCTGATAACAATTGCATGGAGATTTTGTCAATAAAGGAAATACAATCCGGAAGAGAAATCACAGAAAATTCTTATGATGATACTTAAGGAGTATGCTGATACTAATCTTGAGAATAATTTCAAAGGAATTGTGTTCAATGTTTATATGGAGATTAATTTTAATAAATTTTAAGCGCGATCCCCGGGAGACTTTCAAAACCATTTTGGCAAAGTACTTGAGAACTTACGTAATACTGAAAAGGATTTCAAAACTTACTACCTACAAAGCAGTTCAAAGGGAATTATCAGATAAGTCTGAGAAGAATGTGACGGTCATTCCAAGGAGATGGTTAAGAATATTTTAAGAATTTCATAGAGAAAAATGGACACAAAATTGAGCCAATTCTTGCCAGTTTGAGGGAGTTGTCGAATTGGAGAGTGATTTATCAGTGATTACTAGAGGTAATGCTAAGAACTCTTAGAATGTTACTGGAAAAGTTAAGATATTTTCAAGATTATTTTAGGGGAATAGGATGATTAAAATTGAACTAAAGAAGGCGAAGATATCCTGTGAAAATTGCCTACTAGTTCTGCTGAGTGTTGTGTGTTGTATGATGTCAAGAATTAAACTGTAAATCTGATCAACCTCAGAGTAATATTAGAATCATTTAGAACTAATAAAATCTTTAAATTCTGGTACTGCATCAAATAGTAAGGACTACATCGACTATTACTTCAAAAAATCCATCCCATCAAATTTCCTTGATTCTTTGCTTCTCATTCTTTTTAAAAAAGTTACAGTTTAAAAAACAATTCTAACCATATTTTCTGCTGTTTTTTACCCACATTTTACTCAATTTTTTAAATGCTGCGTAATGGATGTTTGAACTTTTTGGGCACACCGTGTCAATACTTTTCAACTTTGTGGATGATTTTTAGTTTTTGCTTATTTCATTTATTTAAACATGTAATTTATAATCATTCTAATACTTTAAATAAATTCCAGATGATCATACTGACCTATTTTTACGGAAGATTGGCACATCACTTTGATTTCAATAGCATTACGTTAAAAAGAGGATTTTTTGAAGCATTCCAGATTTTTCCAGATTTTATATTTTACCTGGTCCAGATTTTTCTGAAAATGACCTGGCAACGCTGGTTATGGTATAGGTTGGTAAATGTTCCTTATTTACCCACTTGTACGGTTGCTCTTAGTACTTCAAATATTTTAAACCTTTATTTTCTTCAATCTAAATCATGCAAATCGGGGATGACACAGCTGTAACGCTATAAATCCGCACACAAACTTAATTTTTCTTCGATTTTTACTCCGAACTTTCATTTGTTTTATTTATGTTTAGTGATGCTTTTCGCGTTGTTATGAGGACATAGCCTTCTGCGAATGGTTTTGGTTCAGTGCTTCAAAGTTTCATTGGCATTGGCTGTCAGTGACGATTATCAATTTCGGTTGACAAATCTGATGCCAAATGCTAATTTTTCTCTGAATTGTAAATATACAATTCCTTTTTTTTTTTCCTTTATTTGTTTTCCGTCGATCTTGTTTTCCGTGCTGAGCACCAATGCTACCGACGCCAGGGAGACAGCTCCCACACCTAGACCCTACCTATCGACCCATCAACTCATGAACCGGGGACCAACGGCTTTACTTCCCTTCCGAAGGAAGGCGTAATCAGAGATATTATGCCTCAGAACATCCCGGCGGCGCACCCAGGCGTGCTGGGGTGAGAGGTAATCACGCTTACCACTACACCACCGGCGTCGCTAAATATACAATTCCTGTAAATGTAAAAAGATTAATTATTGCGCATTTCGGACCAAAGTAGACTCATGTTAAAAAAATAATCCCTCAAAATTCCATTCGCCCATACTTGAAAAAAAAATTCATAATTATCAAAGTTCCACAATTGAGTGCCAATTACCGACGGACATCGATTGCCATCCACGGAGGCAGCTTTCACACCTGGGTAGGTCAAAACCGGGCTGGTTTGGCTGGTTTTGCGCCAACCTCGGCTAGGATTGAACCCAGACACACACTGGGGTGAGAAAACAGTCACGCTTAGCACTACACCATCGACGCCGTCTAATGAACAACTTTCGAGCAGCGAGAGATAATTATTATTATTCATTTAAGTAAACACCACAATGAACCCGCGAAACATACCACGCCACGCATGTCGCGAAACGATGCTAACCTTCTTGATTTCGCAAAATCGCATGCGCCAAGTGCACGTTTCACCCGCTTGCCACTCACAATCTCGCTCAGTTCTAAACTGTTCTTTAACCAGGTCGCAAGTAGCCAAAAACGTGGCACGTGAAAAACTCTTATCCAACCAAAAAAAATCTAGATAGGAAAAGAACCAGCCGGAGATGAACTGCCAACCGAGCAAGTGTGGCCTCTGCGGAGTGCCGTCCAGCCTGAAGTGCGCCGGCTGCAAAGTGGTGGCCTACTGCAGCCCGGAACACCAGAAGAAGCACTGGAAACTGCAGCACAAGAACGAGTGCGCTAAGCCATATGAGGTGAAAATGATCGTGGACCGAGAAGGATCTTCCGGCAACCGCAGGGAATATGCTACCCAGTGTCGTCTAATGGGATAATGTTACTGCTTGCAATGGATTTATGTCCGGGATGCACTGTCATTAGTGTGGTGTTTATTTTTGAGGGCCATTTTTATGTTGTGAGAATTTAGTCTCGCAATAATTTCCTCATGGCAATTTTCCCAATTTCTATGAATGAATTTCCGAACGTGTGTATTAATAGATTCCCAATGACTGAGAGTGCTTGATCAGTGAATCGTGAGAGAGCCGGGTTGTTGAGAAACCGTGTGCCGGTGCTTGTCGATGTTGTTGTTTTGATCATGTAAAGCAGTGCATACTATGATAAGTGGTGAGTGGTGGGAAGACGGAGGCACGTGGAAATTGTTTACAAGCACTTCTAACATGTGTTTCTGTACGGGAGTTGAACGGACGAAATTTTTGTCATTTTGCTTTCGGATAGTTATAATGCGAATGTGGCCTCGTTAATTTCATTTTCGTTTAATATAAAATAATACATTATTACTACACATAATCTGGATGCCTTCCCTATCGGCAACCTGTATTGTGCGGATACTATCCGGATACTATATTTTGATGCCTGCGTCGTCAGGTCGTGACAAGTCGAATGAGCCCCGAATTGAAGTGCAAGTGGAAAAAAACGAAGGAAGGAGTTTTCGAATCATTCATTGCGTCAATTGAAACAAGTCTTTGCTTCAAATGAAATTAACTGAAGCACTTGGCGAACGAAACAAGCGATAGTCCAGTCATGTTTGAAAAGAGGAATGATCATCGTGACTCGATAACATGAAACACGATGACTTACACTAAAATGTTATTGCTCGAAATGAAGCGATTCTGCGGAGCGTTCATTTTCTTTTCTTTGTTTCAAAAATGCAGAACCTTGCTACTAAGATACTGTCTGTTCTCCGTTGACGTGTTCTTCAAAGAGATCCACAACAACTGCGTAAACGGAGGATTACAGTACCGACGATGCATGCATAGCTTCAGTGCTGTTAATTTTCATATCATTCGATTGAAGATGAACCAATACAACCATTCAATCAATGTATCAATGGAAATGGGGAGGTTTTGACAGAACTATACTGTGACTACCACAGTATTTTACATTTGATCGTCCATATACAGTAGCAGCAAAAGCATCATGTGGTGGGTTCAAAACATAACCATCTAAATTGTTCAATTGATCAATATAAAAGGTAAAGTTAAGAACCCACCACAGCATGCTTTTGGCGCTACTGTATATGGACGATTTTTTTTCCTTTGATTTGTTTTCCGTCGATCTTGTTTTCCGTACTGAGTACCTATGCTACCGACGCCAAGGATGCAACTCCCACACCTGGACCCTACCTATCGACCCATCAGCTCATGAACCGGTGACCAACAGCCACAGTATAGTTCTGTCAAAACCTCAAGATTTTCATTGACCATTCTCGCGCCCATCATTTGAAGAGCCCCTTTTCCCAATCGAACCTCTTGTTTCAATTTTCATTTTAGCATATGGATACATTGTATTTCAGAGCATCTATCGACCAAATTTGAGTGCTCTAGAACTTTGTTTACCCCCTGACGATAATAGGTTAAGGGAAGCTGACATTTCCCCTACTACTAACTAAGATACTGTCTTTCCTCCGTTGACGCGTTCTTCAAAGACATCCACAACAGCTGCGTAAACGGAGGATTACCGTACCGACGATGCATGCATAGCTTCAGTGCTGTTAATTTTCATATCATTCGATTGAAGGTGAACCAATACAACCATTCAATAAATTGATCAATTTAAATGGTCAAGTTATGAACCCACCACCGTTTTTGGCGCTACTGTATCTGGATGATCAAATGTAAAATACTGTGGTACCCACAACATAGTTCTGTCAAAACATCAGCATTTTCATTGATCCATTCTGTGAAAACGAATTCTCTCACGCCCATCATTTGAAGAACCCCTTTTCCCAATCGAATATCATCGTCACTCACTATCATTTGATATACGACAGTGGAGTATGGAAGAAACCCAACAGAATGGTCCCGAACAGACTGTCGACTCGGTGTCTGATCAATGTAAAGAAATGTTAAGGTCGATGTCGACTCAATGATTTCGGGTCAATTTTAAGTTTATGTCGGGTATATGTCACATCAACATCGAATTGGGGTTTGGTAGAAGTCAGGTTGGTGTCGGGTTGGCTTAGCTTTTTCGCCTAAATGTCGACCAGAGCTCCGTTTTTCTGTAGGTTACACTCAAATGAGAATGATATCACTTATTAGAAGGAGTTCTCTTTGCTAGCGGATAGCTGCTTTTCTCATTTTCATCAAAAAATGTTCATTTGATTTTAATCCTTTTCGCCGATCAAAAACGACAATCTCTAATCTCCTCCTCTTCTCTCGCTTGACCATTTCCAGCTGTCTCGCAACAAGGAAGTCGGTCGCTTCTTCCTGGCAACAGCGGACATTCCCAGGGATACGATTCTCTTCACCGAAGCACCGATGGTGATCGGCCCCAAGTGGAACCTGGCCGAGTACGAACAACGATCGATGACCGTTCCTTGTGTGGGATGTTTTGTCGACTGTCAACTGGGCCTGTTTCGGTGCGAAGCCTGCCACTGGCCGGCTTGCAAACCGGACTGTCCTGGACTGGGGAATCCGGATTTGCATGCGATTGAATGCGGTATCCTGAAGTTTGGCGGTGGGCCCAAGCCGAAGGATGACCCGGAGGCTATCTTCGATTACTACCGATACGATGCACTGTTGGTGCTCAAGTGTCTGGCGTTGCAAATCCGAAACCGACAGCTATTCGATCAGATGATACAGCTGGAAAGCCACTACGAAGCACGGAAGGGCACGCCCTTCTACAAGGATGCCGACGAACGCACTGTTCAATTTCTTTTGAAGAATTTCCTGCTACCGCTGAAGAAAATAGAGGAACAACATGGAAAAACTGTGCTTCCGGTTTGCGACGCCAAGACTCTGCACAAGATCAGCGGTATTCTCGAGGTCAATGCAATGGTCATCCCGCTTTCCAATGGACGGGAAATCTGTGGCCTATATCCGATGGGTTGCATGCTGGAGCACTGCTGTATGCCGAATTGTTTCTACACATTCGACTGCACCAAAGGCATGAAGCTGACCTTTAAGGCAGGAAGGAATATCAAAAAAGGTAACATCTTAATCTTCTAAAATGCTTTTGTCATAACTCAATAATCCTTCCAGGTGAACATCTGTCTACCACCTACACCCACTCCCTGTGGGGAACGCAACAACGCCGGGAGCACCTTAAGACCAACAAGTATTTCTCCTGCACATGTGCCCGATGCGCTGATGCCACCGAGCTTGGAACCTATATCAGTGCCCTCAAGTGCATGGGAATCGATGGGAACACATGCGCAGGCTATCAGCTACCGATCGACCCCTTGAAAGAAACCAGCGACTGGAAGTGCAACCAATGTCCGGTGCAGATCGAAGCTGATCAGGTTAACTTCCTGCTGTCGAAGATCGGCGAAGAAGTGGACGGCGCTATGGAACGCAAAGCATCCATCAAACAGATGGACGATCTCATCTCGAAGCTGCTAACCTTCCTACATCCGAATCATCACTTCCTACTGCAGCTGAAACATTCGCTGATCCAGATGTACGGTCACTTCAAGGGATATTCCACCCAACAACTCTCAGACATGACCCTAGCGGAGAAGGTCGAAACCTGTCGGCAGATGATGAAGGTCATCGACACTCTGGATCCGGATTCGTTCCGGTTGAGTCTGTATGCGGCGGTTGTACTCTACGAGCAGCAATCGGCATTGCTGGAAATCAACGAGCGTAAGATCCGTTCGGGGCTGCCAAAAACGGATTCCACTGTTCAGAAGAACTACAACGAAGCGCTGCACTGTTTGATGAGGGGCAAGAAAGTCCTAGTCAACGAGATGGGAACCAAACAGGGGAAGATACTACTCGAGGAGATCCAGAAGGCCACCGAGAGGGTTGAGGAGATTATTGCGGCTTAGGGAAGATCTTTCAAATGTTGGCCAATGTTTTGTTGAATAAAAAGTGTGTGTTTTCTGTAGCGATCGTGTTTGTTGTGATCATTAACTACAACTGGAAAACCTTTACGGAGTGAGAGAGAGAGAGGCCAACTAACAATTTTTGCCGCAGATTAGCATAAATTAGCTTGTACAGTTAATTTTTGCCTGTATACGCTAATGTGCAGCTAAAATTGTTTGTTAGGAGCATCTCTCCTCCGCAAATCCAAGTCGAGTGCATTTGAACAGGAAGTCCTTCGTTGTTCGACCGACGCGAAAACCAAAACGAACTTTGGTATGTCATTTACAGAGTGTAATTAATGGCTTTGACAACCATTGACCATTTGCGGAAACAAAAATTTAAACGTTAATTTAGCTGTATTTTCTCACCAAAACGCTTCGCTGAATGTATTAAAACGATTTCTTAGTCTATCAGCTTCAATTTGGACCATTCTGTCAAGCAAGCAGCAGATAAATGTAAACAAGCCGATGGCGGTGGTGTAGTGGTAAGTGTGACAGCTTTTTCACCCCAATGGGTCTGGGTTCAATCCCAGTCGAGGTCGGTGGGATTTTTCTGAGGCATAACAATCTCTGGTCACGTCTTCCTTCGAAAGGGAAGTAAAGCCATAGAGGTAACTTCTAAGACTAGAAGGTCCCGAAGAAACGTGCTCAACTTTTTGGCTCAGCTCTGGTACTCTCTTCGGTCCCAAGCAAATCGATGCACCTGTCGAAATATAGGAACATCCACAAACCCCTCATTTTATCTGTCAAACTTTTATAACGAATCAAAACAAACATAGTGTACACGGATAGAAATCTCCTTATACCTTTTGGCAAATTTCTATTGCTGATTTTTCATAAAATGTATAAGTCAACTAATAAGCAAACGCCCTGCAAAAAGTTAATGAAGATCATGTGTCAAATGAAATGTATAAGCGGTCAAACATACCTTGTATGTATTCTTATAGGATGAATGTGGGTTGTCTTATGTTTATTAATTTATTTGATAAGGCTCAAACGAATTAACTTTACAGAGCCGAGAGTTCTTGGTCACTATACAATACCTCTTAAAACTATAGTCAAAAGGTACAACACAATAAACACTTTATCTTCCGCTATCCACAAAGCCTCCTCCATCAGAACTCTCTTACGTTTTCTCGCTTTTTTCCTTCTTCCTATTGAAAATCTGGCCGTGTTCCCATTTGTTCTCAGGTAGGTAATATTGGTACATGAGGGGAAGAAAGAAATAGAACAAGTTAAGTGTCCTGCATGCGTTGGTTAGTCGTTTGGATCATGGTGTTGTGTTCCCTATTTTATTTGCCTCTATTCAGCTCTCAGATCGCCCCCTCCCCCAAACTATTGTGGATGAGAAAAAGAACCCATATTCGGTAACCTCTCGCGAGTTACAATGCATAAGATATGAATAACAAACAAATCTAGAACGGGGCTTAAACATATAACATTTTCTAAGACTGATCATGATTAATATAGTATGAATAATGATAATTGTATGAAGAAAAGATGATCCCAAGAGAAAGTTCCCTAGCAATAAAACTATTACTCTGTGATAATATGGGTTATTTTAAAATGGGCATCCATACTCAGAAACTATACCCGACCTCAACAAACTGTACCGAAATCAGAACAGCTAAACTACTCGGTAAGATTTTGGCATTTCTATTTAATTGTATTAAGCTATCTCACAGAGACCAGACGTCCAAGTTCGGTCAGAAACTTGTGTAAAGTAAAATGGAAACGTTGCCGTTACGTAGCGCTAGCATCTCCTGATTTCCTCTATAAATTTATCACTTTCGACCAATTTGGCGCTAGTATCGATAAATTATCTGCTGAAAATTGCCACTTGGCGCTACCAGCACTTAGTGTCTAGTATAAGTTTTGCAACGCCAGCGCCATCATGTTGTCAAAGAGGGTTTTTAAGTGGGGAAGTCGCCGTTAGTGGCGCTTAAGTCGAATAGGAATCTTTACACAAGTTTTTAGAGAAATTTTGGAGCCTCAACGTCTGTTCTCTATGGCTATCTTGTATCGAGCTCTTTTCAATAATTGCAACATGTGAATAATTCAGAACAAGTTTAAAATTGTTCTAGAGCCAAATTGGTTTTGAAGGAAGGTAAAACTACAAACGAACAGCTCAGCCGCTCTGAACCCTATGAAAATTATGCTTTCCCAATATGGTACATTCTCTCACTATAAACCTGTCATTTCTAGCGTATCTGAACTATTTAATAAATGGAAACCATAACAGGCCCTCCGCATCCTATCACTGTCTTATCTCAAATACCAATGGTTTGAATGTATCAATATATACATTGGAAATGACGTTCAATCAAATAAACCCATACCCCACTCACTTGGCCAGGCTTCAGAATCATTCAGTGGGCAGTGCGCTCTACACTCCAAGTTCCCTTTCTTTCAAATTTACCCCAAATTTTATATTTTACCCCTTTGAGTGTTGATTAATCACAATGAAGCATTGTGACAGAGCACAGACTTGAGGTTACTAGAGTATTAAATAATCTAGGTCCTATTTCGGATTATATCTGAAAAATCCAAATTTGGCTAACTCCCACCCTCAGGATAAACTTGGGCTTATTTTGTTTAAAAACAAAACTGACGTCTAATATAAGAAGTGTGTGGTGCACAATAAAAGTACATAGTGTGCTGAACATTCGTGCTCTGACACACATAGCTAAAGTCAGCTCATGCGAAGACAAGTTGACATAACGCAGACACGAAGGTTGGGACTTGATTGACTGGACAACCGTTGGTTGACACATCATCGTTAATCATCGACGCTGCAAGAGGTAAGACGTGCTCCTACAGGAACCAACGCTGGGCGATTCCCTAGTATCGCTTCTCGGCCTAAAGGCTAGAATCACCAGTCGATCGTTTGCACTTCACTCATTCAGGCCAGTTGATGTACATTTATGGTTCCAACTGAGGCTCGAATAGTGTAGTAGTCAAGCAGTTTAGTCCGGTTTTGGCTCGCTCAGTCGAGTTGTTCGAGTTGCGCGTTCGTGTCGTAGTGCCGGTTGTATCGTGTGATGGGAAGGCAGCGCTCCCGGAGCAAGCTCCGTGAGAAAGTGGAGAATAATGGTGAAGGTAGCTCGTGCGTACTTATCACAAATAGGTACGCTACTCTTCCCACCGATGTTGGGAATGCCCTACCAGCGGAAGTGAAGCGGACGAAGAAAAGGAAGAAGAATCAGGGCCAGTCCGATGGTGCGAGTGGCCGTGACACCATGACGAACGTCAGCGACATCGATGAATTCGGCGGTACCGTCGAGCATGAAAATTCTGCCGTCCCGAGTACGGCAAGAGTCAAGCTTCCTCCACTGGTGGTGATGAAAGTGCCACTCAACACGCTCATTAGCGATCTCACATCGCTGGGCGTTGCAGCTGAATTCAAGCTGAGCAGGATCGGCACCAAGGTGATGCTGCGTACCAAAGCGGAGTACGAAGCAACCGTAAAGTACCTGAAGGATTCCAGGGCGGAATACTTCACACATGACATCCCCGGTGAGAAGCCCTTCAAGGTAGTCATCAGGGGCTTACCGAACTTACCCCAAGTCGATCGAAGAAGAACTTAAGGACCGTTACAAGCTAGCCCCAATCGCAGTCTTCCGGATGACGAGGAGAGACGAAAACGTGAAAACGTACCCGGATTGCCTTTTCCTGGTTCATTTCCAGAAGGGAACGGTGACGCTCAATGCGTTGAAGGCCATCCGCTCGATCAACTTCATCATTGTTCAATGGGAGCCATACCGTGGCGGCCGTCACGACGTCACCCAGTGTCAGTGTTGCCTGAATTTCGGGCATGGCACCCGAAACTGCTACATCAATCCGCGCTGTGACAAATGCGCCCAAAATCATGTTTCCTCCGAGTGCGTTGTCGACGAGTCGGAAACATGCAAATGCGCCAACTGTGGTGGAGCTCATCAAGGGTCCGACAAACAGTGTCCCAAACGCGAGGATTTCAAGCGGATCCGAAAGCAAGCGTCCACAAGAAGCCAACCAGGACGGAAGAAGGAAAACACTCCGGCATTCAGGGTGGAGGACTTCCCGCCTCTTCGTGGTACGCAACACGGTCAAGCAAATCCACGGGTGCAATCCGGCCCCCGTCAAAGAACGTCTGGTGCCTCAGCTGGACAAAGCTCTCCATCCCCCCTGGATTCTGGAGACAACCAGAAGCACAAAACGCCAATCCCGATCTCTTCTCTGCGGATGAGCTGATGAAGATTTTCGTCGCCATGACCAGCGCTCTTCGTCAGTGCCGCAACAAACCCGAACAGATGCGAGTGCTCAGTAAGTTTATCATTCGGTATGGCGTCTAAACCGTTAACTATAGTCACGTGGAACGCTTGCTCTGTACGAGCCAAAAAGTTCGAGCTTGCTGACTTCCTCCGCAAGCATAGTATCGACGTGGGCCTCCTATCAGAGACCCATCTAAAGTCCGGCGACAGCTTCTGGTTGCCTGACCACAACATTATTCGGCTTGATCGCACCAGCTCCAGGGGGGGTGGTGTTGCGGTCGTCGTCAAGAAAGGAATAAAATACCACACTCTGTCTCATATCCGCACCTCTATCATCGAGACCCTTGGTGTAGAGGTGGAGTCGTCGACTGGATACGTCCAGTTCATCGCCGTCTACTGCCCTCGACAGTGTGCCGCCAGCAGTGGACTAGCGGCTAAATTAAAAAAAGACCTGTCCATCATCACCCGTACCGGTTCCCGCTTCGTAGTTGGAGGAGATATGAATGCTCGCCATGAGGCCTGGCGGAACTACCAGCAGAACCAGAACGGTCGTCTGCTGTTCGACCACTCACAGCATGGGCTGTACTCAGTTTGGTTTCGGATGAGCCAACATTTATCTGACCGGTTGGCAACCCATCGACACTAGACCTGTTCCTGACAAATATCGGCTTGTCCAAGCCGGTAGCATTGAACGAACTCAGCTCCGACCACCAACCGGTGGTGGCTGAACTGGGCTGCA